GTTGTGTCAACTTCTGCTGAAGGTGGTTGGTGCTGTGTTGTGGCTGCCTCTGCTGGAGGTGAAGAAGGCTGGTACTCTCTCTTCACCTGTGTTGTGGCTGCCTCTGCTGGAGGTTGAGGGGGTTGGTATTCTCCCTGTATCAGTGTGACCGAGACTGTTGATGTGGCACAGGGAGGCTGGCTTTCTTTCGTCACATGTGTGGCAATGTTTGCTTGTGTTCTGGAGGAAGGTTGACTTTCTTCCTTCACATGTGTGGCAACGTTTGCTTGAGTTGTGGAGGAAGGTTGACTTTCTTCCTTCTACATGTGTGGTGACATCTGCTAGTATTGTGGAGGAGGGTTGGCTTTCTTCCTTCACATGTGCGGTGATGTCTGCTGCTCTACTTTCTTGTTAAAGAAATATGTGTTCTCATGCAAACTCTTTGGTTAGTTTTAGAATAACATATGTTTCTTTTCTAACTCTAATTTTAACTTAGTATAGTATAGTACAGTATAGATATTGTCTTGGCAACAGACAACAGTTTTCTTTATGATCTGATCAGTTCTTTTTCATTTTCTTCCACAAAGCCATCTTTACCGGAACCTTTCTCTTCCTTGTAGACTTGCGGGTAGACGCGTCTGCGTTCCCCTGGGTAGACGCGTCTGCGTTCCCCTGGGTAGATGTGTCGGCGTTCTTCTGGGTAGACGTGTCTGCGTTCCCCTGGGTAGACGCGTCTGCGTTCCCCTGGGTAGACGTGTCGCCGTTCTTCTGGGTAGACGCGTCTGCGTTCCCCTGGGTAGATGTGTCGCCGTTCTTCTGGGTAGACGTGTCGCCGTTCTTCTGGGTAGACGTGTCGGCGTTCTTCTGGGTAGACGTGTCTGCGTTCCCCTGGGTAGACGCGTCTGCATTCCCCTGGGTAGATGTGTCGGCGTTCTTCTGGGTAGACGTGTCGCCGTTCTTCTGGGTAGACGTGTCTGCGTTCCCTCGGATAAACGTGTCGCCGTTCTTCTGGGTAGATGTGTCGGCGGTTCTTCTGGGTAGACGTGTCGCCGTTCTTCTGGGTAGACGCATCTGCGTTCCCTGGATAGACGTGTTGCCGTTCTTCTGGGTAGACGTGTCGCCGTTCTTCTGGGTAGACGTGTCGGCGTTCTTCTGGGTAGACGCGTTGGCGTTCTTCTTGGTAGAGGCGTTGGCGTTCTCCTGGGTAGACGCGTCTGCGTTCCCCTGGGTAGACGCGTCTGCGATCCCCTGGGTAGACGTGCCGGCGTTCTTCTGGGTAGACGTGTCTGCGTTCCCCTGGGTAGAAGCGTTGGCGTTCTTCTGGGTAGACTGTGTCGTCGTTCCCCTGGGTAGAGGCGCCGGCGTTACCCTGGGTAGATGTGTCGGCGTTCTTCTGGGTAGAGGCGCCGGCGTTCCCCTGCGTAGACGTGTCGCCGTTCTTCTGGGTAGACGCGTCTGCGTTCCCTCCCTCAATGTCCTCTCGCAATAGTTCCATGCGCTCTTTCAGTGCTGTCAAAATGTAATGATAGTACTATGGGAAAACAGTCAATGCCAAAATAAAGGATAAATAGTAAATGCTGGGATGAACAGGGATGAATAGGAAAAGGATAGGATGAACAAGTATGAGTAAGGATTAATAGGAAAAGGGTAGAATGAACGGGGATATGTAAAGATGAATGGGAAAGGATAGGATGAACAGAAATGAGGATTAGGATGAGTGGGAAAATGCTAGGAATAGGGATTATGTTAGGATGAATAAAGATTAGTAAGGATGAATAGAAAAACGCTAGGATTGAGTAAGAATGAGTGAGGTTGAATAGGATTAGGACTAGGAGTGGATGAGGAGTGTTCATGATTGGTTCATAAGAGGTTATGCAGTTTGCTTTACCACATGTGATGTCTGTACCTTTGCTACGACCATTGATAATGACATGTGTCATGCATATTCATCGTACTCATTTGCATGTTTGTGGCTGGTTACATGCGGCCGCTACCAACAAAGAAGAACCAAGATATACATTGTAACATTGCTGTGGCTCAAGAAACATTTTGAATTTTAAATTTCCCTATATTTAACCAGAAATTTCTTCCAACTGTCTTAACTTTTACCTTGCACAAGGCTTGGTGCATCGGTCGCAGGAATGATGACAGCATGCTTCTGTTCTGCAATGCCAATCAAATCTTTGCCATCCCTTTTTTTGAAGAATGGTTGTGAGTCTTTTCTCGCTGAGGAAGTTCATGGGCCTGGTCATGGTGCTTACGGTCCTCTTCAGCTCATCTCTGTGGAATCGCCGGTCGCCGGTCAATGCCAAGAGCTTATCTGGGTTGATGGCCACCACCTTCGTTGGCTGTCTCTGGATTTTAATGCTCCCAATTTTGATGGACATGTTGATCTGCATGAACACAAATACATGCGAGACTAAGTATGATTAAGGATTAAGGTGATTCCAATCAGGGTGTATATGTTGAAATATGTCAGCTCCTATGACCTTAAAATAACCTTAATGAGTTATTGATTGAGCATCAAATGCAGTTGTGACCTGATCATGTAGACTAGAACATTTATAATAACTATATCATCAGATTGAAACATTTCAAAATATCCTTTCTTGTAATCTAAAGCTGGTTGAAAATTGATGGTAACACACCAAAACATACAGTCACACACGCACACACACACACACACAAACAAACAAACAAACAAACACACAGACACATATTGTAATTGTATAAACGGGTGCTCTGTTCTATTAAAAGGACCCTTTTGGCTGGCAAATAATGAAGAGACATAATATGCATTGATTATCACTGCTGGTACCTGTTTGAGGTTCATTTTTTGAACAGCTCTCTCGATTGAGTCAATGACCTCTGCCTTGCTTGATTGAAGTTCCGCTGCAGGGGCCGTTGCTCCGAGACAGTGGATCTGAGTCACCAGCTGTGTGACGGTGGTGGCAAAGTATTCCCATACATGATCCATCTCCTCTTCAAGGTTCGCCATGGACAAACACTGGACACGGAAATCACAGATTCCTACATTTTTCAAACTGACTGGGAAATCACAGATTCCTACATTTTCAAATTTCAACATCATGAAGAACCTATACTGACTGCTTAGTTTACTGACAACTATTATTTCTCATTCATTTCTCACTGAAACAACTTTGAAAATGTTTTCAATGTACAAATGGTTTTGATTCAGTGGGAGCATTATGTATACACAGTTCTTTCACATCAAATAAAAGGAAATTTGAGGATCAAAAAATTGATCAAAGTAAATTACAAAATATTAAATCAGAGCCTAAGTCTTGTCTCTTCTTTCATAATATATAATATATATCTGTCATCCACCTGGCTCTGACATAGAACTTTTAAAACCATCACACTAATAAGATTTTTGGAATAGGACGTTAACAGTCATATGAGAAAAAATATGTAACTTGCCTTTTGGGTGAACCACAGTGGGAGGGCATAGACTTGCGTTGTCCTCAGTGCCACTGGTGGGAAGATTGTCTCAAGCCTTTTTTCAATGATGCTAAGCTCATCATCATTGCGGAGGAACTCCTCACCCAGGGCGATGAGGCTGCTGATGGCCTTGGGTGCCTCCGCTCTTGCCTCCTCCAGGGCAAGTGCCAGGGTTGTTTCCGTGAGTGCATCATGGGGGTGGTTTGAGGGAATGAATGGCAGTGATGTAAGCCTTGAGGTCATACTGTGAAAACAGAAACATGATAGGACTGTTTAGGGATCTTTTTGCACAACCAAAACTTCTCTCACCTTGCTTTCATTTTGGTGACTTATCAGAAACGTAAGCAAGGTGCGTGAAGGTTTGATTTTGTTAAAAGAAAATCCCTATATCTTCATATGTTCTACCAACCTGATAAAACTGTTTTCGAATTAACATTCACAAGTTGGTTGTATGACTTGTCCCTTTCCTTTTTCACCTAAGTGCCCACTAAAAAAGGACCAGACGTCCTAGTCATATTATAAAGTAAAGGTATAAAAAGTACATTGTTTATAATATGTGATTTACATTTATTCATTTTCTTATCTTAATTTGGGAATTGGCATTAAACATTTACCTTAACTGGTTCGCATTAAAATACATGTTGAGCTGTTTTAAATTTAAGTCAGTAAGATCAAAAATATGCTGGCTTGGAGGTTGTTTGCTGAATCAATTTTTAAAATCTTATCTGCTTACGCTTTCGTATCGCAGCATTGGAAGTTTGCAGTCACGACAGGTATGGACTTTGGTTTCTTGCACCTGGTCCCATGTGTTCGCTTGCCACCCTGCAACAAATAATTGTCTTAATTATGCCATGTCATGATTCCATCTTACAGAAATATATGCCCTATTATATAGAGCACGATCTTTCAACTGATGTGTTGAAAATTATCTTGAATAATTTAACCTTTCCTCTAATCTTAAATGGATTTGTCTATTATAATGCACATAACATTCACATTAATGGGACTATAAAGACCTTGATAATAAGCAGCTATTGTGGTCCTTTACATCCCAGCATGCAATTAAAACACTAAATGTTAAGTTATCCAAGCAAGTTGATGGCAATTGCAAATGGTAAAAGTTTAAAGCTTGAGTTTAAATTGAGCATTTAGATGAATTACCTTGTTGAAGACCTTCATTATGACCCGCCCTAGTTCCTTCTCATCAAGGGGATCATCCCATCCAAATGGCAGGCTGGAGGTGGCTGCTTCTGTAAGCGCAGAGGCTTCTGAAATCTATGGAAAAGGTCAAACAGTAATGTGCTTAGAATCTGAATTGCAGACACTTTTTTATATGAACCACAGCACCACCAAACGTGTCACAGACCTGAGTGCTGGTACACAATCAAAAGCAGAACAGCAAACTCTTAGCCTGATATTAGTCTTACGTGGGAGGGACAGAGGTTTTCTTCAGGGCCGCAGGAGCTCTTTCCAGCTACATTTCCCGGTGTGTATTTCACAAGAGATCCCCAAGCATACCATCTCTTATTACTATTACCGCAACACTCCTACTGGGGCGGCCTGTTGTACTGGGCGCGGAAGCTATTATAAGTAGAGCCCCGAAGACACAACTTGCCTGGACACCCCAACTACTATGCCACAATCACGTAAGACTGGGTACCAGGCTAACAAACTGGGTGGGGAGGCTATAGTAGAGCCCCGAAGACACAACTTGCCTGGACACCCCAACTACTATGCCACAATCAAGACTGGGTACCACGCTACCAAAATAACATGAGACCTCATGAATGGCCGCCTTTTGAGACATGTTGCAACTGTATTATACCAGTGCGAAGCATAACCATCCTAACTCGTACTAATATAATAAACCTATACCATTCCATGACCAGGGCACAAAAACTTGTAATAAATGATACTCTTATTTTCCTCAGTGTCGTACTGGTGCATTTCCATACAACATCACAACAATTGAAAAAATCCAGGGACACAATACAATTACAAAAACTACAACACCTGAGATCAAATCAATTCTGCGAAGTGCAGCAAACCTTCCTTTCATGTTACACCAAAAGAGGGGTGCGGGGTACATTAACACATTCAGATCAAGAAAAAAAAATGTATATATCGATACCATGTTTTTCTCAGCCACTGGATCTATAAGAATTCATAAGATTGCCATAATTCAGATGTGATCCAATTAACTAAGGACTCATGGGCTACAAAGGGATGATGTCTAAATTCAGGGGTGCCAAAGTATACAGTGCAAGTGTACTAGTATACAGTGCAATTTTACGGAATACAGTACAATCTTATTAGTATACAGTGCAATTGTACGGAATACAGTGTAATGTTACTTTTGGCGTTGAATCACGTGACTTGGACCCAGTTTTCCGGGACGCCGCTGACGTTGCATACTCACGTATTTCTGTGTTTTCTGAGCGACTGTTCTCGTAGATAGACCTTCACTCAAATCAATACAATACTACACACAGGGCATGTTACTACACAGGGATCATTCGAATTCGCTTCAAAAAGACAGAAAATAAATATGTAAGTCAGCGGCGTCCGCCATCTTGAAATGCATTGGAAAAAGCAGGGCCCAAGTCACGTGATTCAACGTCACTTAAGTAAAATTGCACTGTATTCCGTAAACTTGCACTGTATACTAATACGATTGCATAGTGTATTCCTTAAAAATACTCTGGCACCCCTCAGGAAATTTCTCTCAAGCAAACCTTCCAGTTCTGTCCTTCCAACAGTTGCCAACGCCGCCTTCAGTGCTGTTGTCTTCCCAACGGCTGGTGGACCTGTTGCCATAACCACCGGACACTTCCCTTTGGATGTCATGATGACGTCATAATGCAGGCTCATAGCCACTGCTCCAACTATGACTGCACCAGCTGGCCAGTTGACATCAGACTGCAGGTAGGATTTCATCGCCAGCAACAGCTGGCGAAGAACAACGCCTGTTCTGTCCTGCAGTTCGACATCTTTAAAACTTACCACGAACTTGGGTTCTGACTTAACATCCCAGATGTAGTGATCCTGCTTTGGTAACAATACTCCATCACTTCCAAGCTGGACATCTGGACCGAGTACCCAGACTGCTGGATTGTTTGGTGTAGATGGCTGCTTTCCAACATACTGAAAAAATAGAAATGTTAAATGTGTTATTACACAGTGAGATGGAAGCTGTTTCATGACATTTTAACCTTGCTTGACACCAACGTTTGAAAAATGCTTTGGTTTGAAAAAGACATCACTTAATCACTCTTACTCAATTAATCACTAATTGCTTTCTTCACTTTTCCACTACTAACTAACTAGGATGTTTTACGAAAACGTACCACTATACTAACTTGGAAGAAATTATACCCTCTCATATTGGTCTTGTCACTTTTGTTATACCTCATGCCAAAAGGCTGGGTTTATATATATAACATTTAAACAACTAATTTGGAATTTTTATCCAACCATGCATTGTTTTGTCAACTAGGAAGAAAAGGACAAAATTTTTACTCAACTGCTGGGGTCCCGGCAATATACCTGGACTGGAGCATTTTTTGTTGATTCTGAACCAGAATTTTTTTTTTGCAAATCATTAAAAAAATGAAGAGGTGAATCCGATAACCAACAAATTGAATCAGTGTGGCCTACACAAACAAAATGTTTTACAGTAATGAAATTCAATGTAGCCTCCATTACCGTTGTTTTAAAATACTCTCAATTTTAGTTACTTCACCTGGTATATAAAAATTTACCCTGGGGGAGTTTTTAAATGTCTGTACCAAAAAAGTCTCTTTTGTAACCTCTGTTTCCAGGAACAGAGGTTACACCTGTAGCGGAAAAGACAGTGATAACAAGGGATCATTTTCCTGTGCACCATGAATATACCAATGGTAATTAAATAGCAAACATATGCAGCCTAAGGAGAATAACACTCAATGTCATCATGAAAGTTCATCTGTGTTGGTAGGGGTATAAATTATCACAATGCCAGACTCATAAAAAAATACAACTCCAGGAACTGGAGTGGATGTTCTTACCTAGCCAAAGGAATGATACTTAACTCTAAACTCAGTACTCTACAACACATGCATGTAGACTGCCACATCCCCTGCCAGGGCAAAAACGACAAAGAGGCCTGCAAGGAAATGTACAGAGAAACAGAAAAGTCTGAACACCAGGTTCCAAGAACATACACGACCAAACTCCCCTTCAGTCAGTTCAGAAGTGTCACAACACATCCCCATTGAGTTACCTGGATTTTGGACACTGAACAAGAATTTCATGAGAGGGGTGGGAGGCTATATACATCACTTAACCGCGACGGGGGCCGACATCGCCTACCTGAGATACCTTTGACCCAGCTGTTTAAGTGTTGACGTCCGCACACTGCAAAGAAGCCACGTGACAAGCCTCATTGGGTTCTACTGAGACAACCAGAGTGACCGGTCGAAAGCTCTAGGTGAGAGGTTCAACCCTTTGTATTGGACCTTGAGTTATTAACTCTAAACATGTTAAACTAGAGGTCGGAGATCTCATGTCTTAGTCAGAGGTACATTGTTCTAGAGAAATGAACATGTGTATTCTTTACGTTTTAATAACCAATGTGGTTTAGAGTAAAAGAATCTCTGTACTCCCTTTTTTATGCTACGGACACCCTGAAAGGGTTTGCCAGATTTTACAGACGCACAGGTCTCCAGTGGACGTCATCCATAACAATTACTTTGTGTGGCCGTATGAGATAACCTGACGCATGTCCAACCTTTCCTCCTCCAGCTGAAGTTATAATGAACAATCCCTCAATCAGCTGCATGGGGAACCCCATAATGGGATGGGATAAAATAATGTGTACATTATTTTATCCCATCCCATTATGGGGTTCCCCATACAGCTGTCAGCTGTCTCCAAGCAGAGGTTGGTCATTTTTTTTTTTAAACACAAAAGGTGCGATGCAGTGACGTAGGGACCCCCCACGAAGCCCATTTACAAACTTAAAATTGGTCTCAACAATAGTAACTGTTGCACAGAATTTGCACTCAACATTGGCAACAAAGGTAATCTGCCTGCCAAAAATCATGACCGTCGAATTATACCTTTGAGGGGTTATTCCGCTAAATCCGCAGTCACCCACAATGCGGCGAGACAATTCCATACTCTTTCTGAATAAGACAACAAGTTTACACTAGTGTTCCCTGGCCGGCCGGATCTCCAAATGTGTCTACGAAAGTGCCTATACTTTGCAAGGGTGCATCGGGCGCCAGGCTCCGAAGGGCAAGCAATAAAACGGGTCCGGGAGTATGCACCCCCGAGAAATTTGGATTTTTTTAACCTTCCATGATGCATTATCCGACATATTGCGACGCAAAGTAACGCCGACCACTTGACGTTTCACTGTTAGTACGCAAGGCATACTACTGGAAAGCACAACTATTGCAAGAAAGGGGGAAAAACACATGTTGAGGTCTCTACACCGAGAAATCCAAGGAAACTCCACCATTAAAGAAAATTACTGTTGAGACCTGTGACCTAGCTCATCGATAGCACACACAACACTTATAATATAAGTGCTGTGTGTGCTATATAAGTTATATATAGCACAAATATCCTATGCATACGAGGCTTACTGCCTATAACCCAGATGCTATAACCAACCAATAGAAGAAAAAGGGGACAGAAAACTGAATACCAAATAGTATAGTATTTTACAAAAATACTCTTTTTACCTCCATGCATGGACAGCTAGCGCTGACAGCTGTTCTGGGCATAAGGTCGATGACCTACATAAAAGACAGATCTAGTGCAACCAATACAGCTGTCCTACTCTAATTGGCCAGAAGGTCGTTGACCTACATACAAGACAAAACCAGAACAACCAAAAAATATGAACAATATAACTTCTTTTCCACATTCCTATTAAACAAAAGAGTTCAAACTAGTACACCACTAAATCTATATTACTATACCTTATCATACACCATACAAAAATCTAGACTAATGCCACATTGGAACTTGAACTACAAACAAACAAAGAAACAAACACAAAAGGTCTATTACGGGGACATATCGACCCCCTAGACTCTCACCTTTGGACTCAATCTAGTGACCACCACAGTAACATGCCTACAAAATTTCATTAACTTCCATCCACATATACAGAAGTTATCCTACTCACAAGAAAATTAAGGAAATGCCCCCTGTAGTCACAACGAAAGCCTCCACAAAGTCCATTAAGGCCATACCAATTAAATTTGTTGGTTCTCAGATTTTTTTCAGGAAAAGTATGAAGCGACAGGGCGAAAAAAATATAAATAAAAACAGATCTAGGCATCCTATTATAGCCCCAAATGCCACAATAGGAGGTATGAGGTCAACACACCAGGCTGGTTCATAATTTAAACAATGAATTTTGAACTTCTAATGATACCACTGCATTGAAAGATGGAATAACTGTAACAACTAGGAAGAAAAGGAGTTTTCAACTGTTCAGGGCAAAATATGAGCATTTGGCAGTTGATTCTGAATTTTTTTTGAAAATCAGAAAAAATGAAGAGGCGAATCCGTTAACCAACAAATTAAATTGGTGTGGCCTAAAGAACTTAACCTTGGTCCTGAAAATAGTAATCTGATGACCAAAAATTATAAGCAACATTTTACAAATACTTGAGTTATTTTGCTAACAAGCCACAAAGACAAAAGGTGCACTAACGTGACGCACAGACCCCCCACGAAACCAAAACTTGTACTTGACTTTGGCCTCAACAAAGGTAAACTGCCTGCCATGGACGTCGAATCATGCCTGCCGGAGTTATATTGCAAAATCCGCAGTCGCCCACGATGCGGCGAGCCAATTTCATAGTCCTTCTAACGAAGACAACTACCAACATAGATGAAGACTGTCATGTAGACATTTCCACTACTTAGAACTTGGCCAAGTTCACATCTTCATATGATACGGGAATATGCGGTTATGTTTCTATCTATAAATGTTACCTAAAAATCATTTTTGAGATTTTTAGATAATTTGAAAAAACAACATTGGGATAGTCCAAATGGACTCGTGCTTCATGGTAGAACAATCTACATGGTATCGCTGTGAGGAATCCCCCCCCCCCACACACACACACACACAAACACACATTGGGTTCTACTGAGACGACCTGAGTGACCGGTCGAAAGCTCTAGGTGAGAGGTTCAACCCTTTGTATTGGATCTTAAGTTTTTAACTCTAAACATGTTAAACTACCAACATAGATGAAGACCGTCATGTAGACATTTCCACTACTTAGAACTTGGCCAAGTTCACATCTTCATATGATACGGGAATATGCGGTTATGTTTCTATCTATAAATGTTACCTAAAAATCATTTTTGAGATTTTTAGATAATTTGAAAAAACAACATTGGGATAGTCCAAATGGACTCATGCTTCATGGTAGAACAATCTACATGGTATCGCTGTGAGGAATCCCCCCCCACACACACACACACAAACACACAAACACACAGTTATCATCTTGTGCTTCAGATTTTCATCTTTTAGAGCAATTAGCCACAGATTTAAAGTTCAAAATTCATTGTTTACATTTTGAATCAGCCTGGAGTGTTGACTTCATGGCTACCATTTTGGGCCATAATAGGATGCCTAGGCCTGTTTTTATCTATTATTTTTTTCGCCCTCCCACTCCATAATTTTTCTAGAAAAATCCGTGAATTTAACCAAGAAATTAAATTGGTGTGGCTTCCCCGTGACCGAGGGATTATCGCTCACTCGCGGTAGGGGATGGCACCCAGGCTAAAAACTTTGCGACCTCTGAGTGACACTTCCTGTCACATCGCCGCTCGTGTCAGGTCCGTTACGCACGAGTCGGAGAGCAATAAAAGGAGTACTTCACCACTTCCCACCTATTATATACCACTTTGCACCTATTAGATACCGAATTCGCAAATTGGAGCTTCTCTGGCCGGCTATTACTTCAAGCACATGGTAGCCTCCTTCTCAGGCGTTCCCGGATCGGTCGTTACTGTATTTTTTTGGGGGGGGGGGTATTTTCTGATCAAACGTAGATCGCACGCAATAAAAGCTCTAGCCGGCAACTCTACATATATCCAAGGAGATATATGATATATCCACGACCGATCCGGGAACGCCTGAGAAGGAGGCTAAGCAAATGGTTTCTTCCTTGCAAATTTGGTACTGTTTTTGCAGCCATCGAAGATCTGCTTGGAGATTACATATAAGTACGAGGGGAATAAAGAACGAGTATCAAATAACTTAATAACAAACCTCCGCCACGTTAAACACAGTTGGATTTGGGCTTGTTGCCATCATGTAGGCGTTTGTGATTTGATGAAGGTAAACTGGGAGTTCAGTTTTCATCATGTACGTTTGCAACATCCACAGGCTCTGTCTGCATCGGTGATTCAGCGCCGTGATGAAGTTGACGAGGTGCATGGTGTCCGATGTCTTCACTGGAACTAACCTGGGGAGCAGAATCTGAGTGTTAGACATGCGTGGGAAAAAGTTGAAGTAGCACAAGCCTGGGCCACGTCATTCTCTACGAGGCGCCGACTAGTCTGTGAATATTGTAGCAAACACTCGAAGAATGTTGAATAAAATTAAGAAAAAAAAATAAAACCAAAATGTCTTCCAGTTGGTCTGCATCTAGCCTGGGTGCCATCCCCTACCGCGAGTGAGCGATAATTGCCCTCGGCCAGGGAAGCCACACGCCCCGCCGACCTTGATTTGCGCACTGGCTCTAATTATCTGGCGTGAAAGATATTGGGTTTGGGGCAGCCTGGGGTTGGGACGCGGATCAGTAGCGGACACAAAAAAATCTATCGCTTTATGAACGCCAGCGTCTGGCACCCAGGCTAGTCTGGATCGAGTTATATTTTCAACTGATTTTTTTTGCTGTCACGGATGCTGACATTTCTTACGCAAACGGATCCTCTATGGACGACCATGTTCAGGCCGATTTCTACTACTGTTCGTTGCAACGGAGTCTGGTGTAGACTATTAGGGACGTGCTTACGATCGTTAATTTTTCGGGCGCGTGTACTTACACAGATCGTAAATTACACGGTGCGTAAGTTATCGCACCGTACTTGTTACTAATATACTTACAAAACACCCTGACGTGAACTTGAAACGATTATCTCTAGTAGTGAGTCAACCATCAACAAGTAAACCACCGTTTTCGTCCGGTCCCCCTCTTCATGTTTATCTGCCATACACATTCCAGCATGGCAAGGCATACCATTTTGCCCATTTTCGGCATGTCACTGTCAAAGGGCAACAAAATTTCCCAAAGTTTTTTTTTCCCCAAATCAAGCGAAAATCAATGCACGCGCTGATGTCATCCATAAAAATTACTTGCTGTGGCCTTAGTGTAATTGAAAAATAATACTAGTTCCCCGGGAGCCATGGCCATCCTCACTCGGCGTCGCGGGGAGTTAGTAAACCTCGCGGGCCCTGACCGGTTAGCCCGTCCCGCGCCCTCCCCGCCCTCTAGGCCTCGCGCTGAGTGATAATGTCACTATTCTCCACGACGCCCAACGAGGATGAGGATGGCTCCCGAGTACACGATTAAATAGTGGCGAAAAATGGTACAAAGAAAGTAGCCTCCTTCGTAAGTGTTCCGTGATCAGTCGTTTTTTAGTCAACCGCAGTATAGACTAGAAATCTTGTCTGAAAATCGTAAAAATTCCAAATAAGCGCCCCCTCCCACACCCCAAAAAGAGACCGATCCATCACGGGACGCCTAAAAAGGAAGATAGTAAAAACGGCATTTCACTATAGTATTTAGTAATTTCTATAACAACTTGAATTAACACTTACCATTCTGTCGGACTCTGTCCTTGTGCAGAGAGGCCATGTTTGACCTTGAAGACAAAACCCTCGCCAGTTTCCTGACGAAACAGACCGGCCACTTCTAAACTGAAGTTCGAGCACGGCCTGAACTTTTTTGCTTGACTGCCCACAAGGACTCCAAGTTCTCCACCAAATAAAACTAGTTTAGACTTTTCTTCTTCAATCGCGCTGTCGGAACCGGAGGGTCCCGCGGTGCCTGCCATCATACTCAGGTTGTTCTGGTACTCTGCGTGGCACTTGTAAGCCTTTTAGTACCCCTACTGTGAGGACCAATGACATGCTGACCAATCAACAACCCACCCGTTGACGGCGTTTTTTTTTTCTGAAAGTAAACAAACTGTGGAAACCGTATGGTATTGATACTAGCCATGGCGAACCGTTTTTCTAAATCGGCTTCACGACCACGCCCCTTTGTATGAATGACTTCCTAGTACGTTGCGCGGCAGAATAAAAAGCTGAGTGGTGATTATTTGGATGGTGATTTATCGGTACTACTCAACATCTGTAAAAACTTGGGTGACTGGTTTTCAGCCTGAGTGATCGGCGCCGTTTTGCAATAAAAAAACACCAGCAATAATCACCATCATCTGGACACTAGACAACCCTCTACCAGGCTTCGTGAGGCGGCTGGGAAGAGTAATCTCATTGGCCGGGTCAGCAATGGTATCGCCTATGAACCAACACTGTTACACTACTCCCCTTTTCTTTTCAAGATTAGTCCTCGAGTCTTCCAAATTCGACATCCCTGGAGCGGCAGAACTCCCAGGGCCTAGCCTCTACCAGGCGAACTGTTCTCTCAACGGACAAACTCCCTTGGCATGCTTATTCTCTATTTGGCCGATTTCTACTCTTTCCAGCCGCCTCCCCAAACCTGCTAGAGGCTACCCAGGGTCGGCATGGGAGTCGCTGTAAGAAATGAACCCCCCACTGTTACAGGATGGTGATTTATTGGTACTATTCAACATCTATCAAAACTTTGTTGACTGGTTTTCATCATTATCAGTGATCAGCGCCGTTTTGCAAGAGGGCCTGCATGCGCTTTTTGTTAACCGTTAGGGGCTATTTCAATTAACCGTTAATCGTTGCCGGCCTGCTCTAATTCAACGTTAAGCGTTATCAGTATATTCCTCGTGAAGCGTCATTGGGTGTTTTAGTTCAGTGTAAAACGTTATTAGTCATCCTAAATTCAGCGTTAAGCGTTAATGAATAATTCTTCGTTACGCCTAATTTTGCCTTTCAAAATCCGGGAAAATGCGTCATTGAAGGTTCAAAAATAACAAATTTCCCGGGGGAGAATGCCCACGGACCCCCTTCATTGCTCGCGCTTTTGGCGTAATCTCCAAGCAGATCCCTCTCGGTGGCAAAAAGACAGTATCAAATTGGCCAGACAGTATCCATTAGCCAGAGAAGCTCCGCGGCCACCGACGTGGGGATCAGGACAAAAAAACGGCCATATATAAAAAGGTAACGATTATTCCCCACAACCTCTGCTTGGAGAGTATTTTGGCGCTCGAATCGCGCTTCTGCACTCGGTCCCCTCCGGACGGCTCTAGCCAGAACCAGCTTTCCCGTCAATTACCGGAAGTTTGCTGAACGTTACAGAATTTTGTAATGAATCCGTCAACCTTGACAGACAAAATTAACAAAAATCTTGTGTAAAAATATGAAAACATCAGAAGGAGCGACAAACACTCTCAACACCATGATTTGCTTCTCAAAATGCGGGAAATTGCGTTTTTAAGGCTTAAAAATCCTAAATTTCCCGGGGAGCAACATTAGGACCCCCTTAGATTGCGATCGACAAATCCATCGGTAAAACGGAAAAAAAGTCAAGCTTTTGAATTTTCTGTACTTACTCTTTTACTAAATTGCCTTTTTTCCCCCTTCTTATATGTATTTATTTAGTGGTGCCGTAAACATAAGTGTTTTCCACTTTAGTGCGGGACCACCATGTCTTGTACCTTTTTCTATGTGAATGAATAATAAAAAAACAACTTATGTTTGCGTTAGCGGAATGGCCATTGTGCACATCAAGAAACGGATCGTAACTTGATGTGCACAATGAGAGGGAGAGAGGGAGGGAGAGAGATAGAGAAAGAGAGAAGGAGAGGGAGAGAGAGAGAGAGAGAGAGAGAGAGAGACCAATTGATACTGTAATTTGCAGCCACCGAAACGTCTGCTTGGAGATGAGAAATTACTGCAAAGTGCAAAGGGTACTCAGTCTCCAAGCAGATTCACGGATGGGGCACGAAGGGGACTTTGTGCTGGCTGGGACCTCTATCCATCCGGCGGAAACAGATACATTGTACATGCAGCCAACATAAGATCACCACGCCCAACCGAATTAGTCTCCACCAGACTCCTTTTGATACTGCAGGCTGAACAAATACTTGTACATGTATTAAAAATGAGATATAAGACCATATAACTGGCCTGTGAAGGTGGCACGCGGTAGGCGGGGCGGAACCCCACTTGGAGACGGAACAAAATGAGTGTAATTAACTATTTTTCCCACAATTTTCATAAGTGAACACACATGTTAATTGTCCTTAGAGCACTGCTTGGTCACCTCAGCCGATAGGAAGCCACAAACTAGCGTGTATCCGTCGGGTTAGCATCTCGAATCTACCCTTGTGTCGACAAAGCTACAGTAGTAACCTTTTTGCCAGTCTGCCAGACTCCACGATGGCATCACACTCTGAAAGTAAGTTACTCTCTTTATATGTCTTGCTTACATAATGATCCGATCTACAAAATTCGGACATTGGAAATGATGTTTCTGCAAGCCCTTTTCCGTAGATGCGTAAATCGGCCGTTTTAATTCTACGTAGAGCGTAGACGGACCGCTCTAATATTTTTGCGTAGATAGTATTCGGATTGGAGATTATCAGGCTGGTCGATACAAAATAACCAGGTATATTTATTTATTTACTTAAGTATATATTTTATATAATATATTTCTTTTAACAGTCTTAGCCCAGGCATACAACTCCAACGTGCGGGACTACAGAGAGGACACGAGACAGATCGTCAAGTTCCTCTCGGCTCCGGGCCAGCTGGTGCACTGCCCATTCAATCCGGCGCACGTGGTGAAATGCTGCAAGGTCGAGGACCACTACAAAAAATGCAGCAAGGTTAGTGGGAATATTGAAGCGTGAATCGTTTGACTGCGAACCGGCTTAACAGTTTAGCCAAGTGGGGGCCCGCAAGCCGTTTTAATTCTACGTAGAGCGTAGACGGACCGCTCTAATATTTTTGCGTAGAGCGTATTCGGCGTTTTAATTCTACGTAATGCGTTGTAGCCACTGGAATTTATCGTAAAGCGTAATGGAGAGGTTTCCGAATTCAGCGTAGAGCGTTGTCGGGACCCTCCTTGCAGGCCCTCCCTAGTGGGTGTTGGCTACCCTAACGACACATAACAACCACATTTGAACCCAAGTTTCCCAAATATTGTCCCCTCCCCATGGCCCACTTAGTGTGATAACTTTAGAGGGAT